TCTCTATGAAAACTTAATAATTTAGAGAAAAATTAAAAAAAAATTATAGCATAAAAAGCATGAAAAAAATGAAAGGAAAAGGAAATATTTAAAAAGGAGAGAGATAAAGAATGGAATAAAAAATTGAATTCTTTTTTTCTCTTAATTTCTTTGCTTTACCTTTTTTTTTTCAATTTTCTTCCACTGTCAATATCCTTCCTCTTTCTTTCTTTTTATTTTTTTTATTTCTTTTTCAAACTCGGTGGCCATTAGTAAAGGTCCTAAACCTTCTATCTCTAATTTCTTTTTTTTTTTTGGTGATAACATGCCACTTGTATCTCCATGCATTGTTATATCCTCCATGCAATGACATATACCCTTTTTATCTTATATGCAGTGTGACAACTATGCCTTAACCAAATAAATTCAAACATATAAAATTCAAAAAATTAAAACAAAAAACAATGTTGACAAAAAAAAAAAAACAACTATGAAAGATTTTTAGAATTCTTTTAATATAAAGATGCCAGATGTTAAACTTAGGATACTTTGAGATTCTTTTATCTTACATACAAGAAAAAAAGTTAGGTGTCAAGTCCAAGATCCTTTGGGGATCTTTTTAGTATAATGTTGTATAAATCTATGATACACACCATTTAAAAATGAAAAAAAAAAGAGTATTGTCAGAACCTTTGCCATTTAATTTTGTCGCTTAAAAATTTTAAAGAGGAGAATTTTTTTAATTAGGCAGCAATGTTTTGTTTTTATCCATTAATAAAAGACAAAAAAACAAAATATAAAATGAAATAAACCCTAGACGTCAAATTTATTGAAAAACAATATTTTGTTTCTATCTTAACAAGGAGCTAAGGATCTCACATGTATTTCTTTGTTTTGAGGTAATATTTTTATTTAAACTCTTATCTTAATATGATTAAAATATTCATACTTTAGTTTAACTTTGATTTGGACAATTAATTATCTTTCTACAGAATTGTAATTTCTGATTTATATGGTTTAAAAATATGAGCTTTTTAATCATTAAATAATTGAAAGAAATGTAGGTGTGTGTGTTCATTTTGTTGTAAGAGATGGATTTACAGAGGCCAAATAAGAGTTTGAAGTTTTTGTTCTATATTTATGTTGCTTCACTATTTTGGACGATTTATATAGAAATAGTTTCTATTTGTTTTTTACTTGCTTGGTTTTGTAAATAATAAATTTATCGTTGACACCCTTATTTATAATTAATTCTGTTTTTTATATATCTATTTATTTATTTATATCAAGTAAATCAAATTTAAAATTATTAAGAGATATTGTAGAACTTTTGAATTCTATGAAATATGATTATTATTATGCATTCTAATTGAAATATTAATTAGTTTTCAGGAACAAAATGGTTAATATTTTATGATACAGCCTTTAACAAATTCAAGTGATGCACAACATGATAGTTTCCATACTGTAGATGAGTTTCAAGCTACCTTTTTGCCTAATCAACTATTTAATACTCTATTTAAGAATTCAAATACCAAAATAAGTCTAGGAGGATAAGTTGTTTCTTTCACAAGTTATGTGATTTCGAAAAATATATGTAACAATATTTTAATTAATTTGAAAGATAAATATGACTGTATATGATATATGGTGTCTAATTGTAAATATTTTTAATAAGGAATGGAACTTCTAATAAATGAGGAGAGGGACCTACCAAAAATAAAAATTAACCAAAAGGAAAATGAAAGGTAAATACCTTGAAATCTAGTTTCTTCCTCCATACTATAAGATATGTGATAAAGATGCCAACCTTTTCAAGGCAAAAGTAACAAATTACATTCGGTAAAATGCACCTCTTCAAGTCTTCAGTTGGAAAAAAATTTGTAAAAATGATATTAAACAATGTTGATTTTCTTAAAGGTATTTTACATATTTCATATATTTAATTTTTTTCTTTTATGAATACAAAATTTAATATGATAAACAGTTGGCTAGTTTTGTCAACTTGTTTCCCTTTATATATATATATAATTTTATCTCAAAAACTAAATCCTGTTAGATGATTTGTATTTTATGGTCGATTTTGGTTGAAATTTGAATAAATTCAAAGATGAAAGCAAAAGTGAACCTAGCTATTTTGTTTACTAAACTTCTCATTCAAAAATAACTTATCTATTATGGAAGGAAGATTTTTAAAAATCTGCAAGCAAATTAATTACAAGTTGACTAAAAATAGGTAAAAATATATGGCATTTATATATATATTGCATTTTATGGTTCATATAGGTAAATAAATCCAAATGAGTTTCATATAATTTTTTTATTATGTTTTCAATGTTATATTATTTTAAAATTTTTATTTAAATTATAGGACAAGTTTACTTTCTCGAATGCTGTATATCCCTATGTGATGAAACAAGTGCAAGTTCAATATAAGAATCGCCATTACCATTTGTACCAAAGCTATATAAAGAGCAATAATTGTCTAATTGATGTGGATCCAAATGATTGGCAATGTGTAATCACCAATAAATGAACTACAAATATATTTAAAGTCTGAATGGCAAGGTGTTCGGTTCTCCTTAAGTAAGGTCTTAGTTTCAAGTCTTGTGAATGGAGAAAATAGGCTTGGGGAAGGCTTGCCCTCTTATGGTGTTCAACCCAACTCGACTTTGGATTAGTTAGGACCTAAAGTGGCTATCAGGTATCAAGAAGTCCCAGACCAAAAAATATATATTTAAGGTAGTTTGCTTATTCAATAAATTTAACTACATTTTGTTATTTATGTTATAAAAATATTTTTTTACCATAACGTAAGCTCAAAGTGAACGAAACACAGCTAATAACGAAAATCAATAGATAAAATCCATTGTTGGCACAAAGTCAATTATTCAAAAGGCATATGAGATGGTAAAATCAATTTTAATATACAATAAAAAGTCAAATTCATGCTTATTTTAGATTAATTTTTTAATTAATTATTCTTATATTTGGTTATCTAGTTTTTTGTTCTTATGAAAGATAAAGATTTAGAAGAATGGCTAGATGTTGTGATGCTTTAAAAGGTAAGATGAATAAAGCCTAATGGAACTTGGTTTGTTCCAAATGGATAAGAAATAATGGTATAGAAATTATTTAAAATTTTGTTTGTGATTTAATACTAAATTTATTAATTTGAAAAATTTTAATCATTATTCAAATCATGTAAAACAAACTTCAAGAAAAGGGTGAGAAAAATTAGAAGAAGATTTCATTACATTGAATACCACTAGTAGAGCATTTTGCTCTTATTTTAGGAACAAAGTCAAATTACTCGCGTGGTGTTAGTGTCGGAGGGATCACATCTATCTCTCAAGAAAAAAGTCGCATTATTACTGAAGTTGAGATTGTAAAGAAACATGTAGAGAAAATGGCTGAAAGGCTTACTAAAATTACAAAAAAACAAGAGAAGGCCAACATCCAACTTCAAAAAAATATGGAAGCTCAACATGAAAAACTTATGCTAAGCCTAAAAAAAAAAGGTGAAGAACTTAAGGCTCAAGATAGGGCTATTGAGAAACAAACTATGGAATTGAAATTAGTGAAAGATGTATTACACATTCTGTAGGTGAAAGATTAATTTCTAGTTTGTTATCTAATGCATCTATATCAAATTCACCAAGTAATGATGTAAATACAATAGTTAAATAATTAATGTCACTTACTAATATTATAATAACAATTATATAAGATAATTTTTTATTATTCGTTGACTATCCTTTTTTTTTTTTGTTTGTTTTGTAAGAAAATAATGAAGATTAAACTTTACTAGGATTAACTGTGAACTTTTAGCTTGGATTTCCACTTGGACATTATCATATTTGTGGAGTAAAATTTTTTTTTAGTAATTATTTAATTTTTTGGTAGAAAAATACTAGTATGATTTTGTTGATAATTGTATTTTGGATATTACTTTTAAGATTAGATTTAGGAAATTAAAAACATGATATATATATATATATATATTGGTATTTTATTATTTTATAATTTTCTTTTATTTTTAAAATAGATGAGGGGACCACATTTTTGTGTCACTATAATCATATTTTATTTTGAAACAACTTTTTAGTGACTATTATTTTGTAATTACAAGTGCAATTTTTTGTGGCAATTTATTTTTTTAGTATAGTTTTATTAATAATTGTATTTTTGATATTACTTTTGAGATTGGATTTAGGAAATTAAAAACATGATATATATTTTGATATTTTATTTATAATTATTGTTATCATTTTCTTTTATTTTTAAAATAAATGAGGTGACCACATTTTTATATCACTATAATCATATTTTATTTTAAAACAACTTTTTAGTGACTATTATTTTGTAATTACAAGTGTAATTTTTTGTGACAATTTTTTATAGTCACTAATGATAGTCTTTTTATAAATTGCAAATTTTGTTGTGATAATAACTGACAATAATTATTGCAAGAAATAATTTTAATATTCGTGAAATAATTCATTTGATACTATTTCGATGAACACTAATGAGGAAAATTTTGTCACTAATAAAAATAACTTGAGTGACTATAATTTTGTAATATTGCTATACTTTTAAAGTCGATATGTCACAAGAAAATCATGTTATTATGACAACTTTTTTTCATCACCATTTTAATTTTTTATAGTCGAAATAATTGTCACAATAAAATGAGTTATTATGATAATTTGTTTTAGTCACATATTCTAATATATTTAGTGTTAAAATTTGTGTCACAAAAAAAAAGGGTGCTATTGTGGTAATGTAATAAATATCATCACTAATACAATAGTGACGAAATTATTTGTGATGACAAATGATGACTTTAAAATTGATCACTATAAATTTTAGTGATTTTTTCTTCACTAAAAAAATACTATTTCTTGTAAAAACACAGTGTTATTGTTTATCTCAGTGTCAACAATGTTAAGAATTGCTAGAAACACGTGCACGATAAAGATGAAGAATGAATAAAAGATTACATATTATATATTATATCATTAATTGTATAATCCACCTGAAAAGGGTATATCAGTTTGATGCAACCAAGTGTCTCCCATGGTGAAATTGCAGACAGTAAAATCCATAGCTTGTGTAGCATTCAATAAACTATAGCCAGGCCACTTCACTCTCTTGCTTGTATCTGCACCTGGTCCATAGTTTCCAAACTCCCCATAAGACAATGTGTCAAGTCCAAATGTTCCATTCCATTCCAACCATCCAGGGGGACTAATCAAATTTCCCATGTATGATTGCATGAACACTGTTCTAGAATATTGCTTCCAGGGTCTACCCAAATAATTTAAGTTGTTGCTTGAATCGGTTGCCAAGTCTGGTGCAGCTTCAATAGTGCAATTTTGAATCGAAATACCGGTATTTTGATTCGGATCGGTCCTTCCTTGAGCTGTAATTGTGTTTTTCTGTTCAGGCAATGGTTTCCGAACGTAAAAATTGCAACTTTGGAATACAGCAGCAGCATTTCCAAATACGAAATCAACAGTTCCGTAGATATCGCATTCCCTGTAAAATTGTCTTAGGGAATGTACATAAAGTGTATCTTGATACCCTTCAAAACTGCAGCGGTAGAATGTGGAGAAATCAGCACTGTTCCTCACAGCCACAGCTTGGTGTTTCTCTGGACCAGCTGTGTTCTTGAATGTAACATCTACAGCTACAAATCTCTCTCCAGTAACAACTGCAAATTCACAAATTAAAGAGTCAAATTGGAGCCAAGATTGCATCTTCAAGCTAGCAATTGAATTGGAGTCTATTATGCTATATTCGTGTTGTATATTAAAGATATAATCGAGTCGAATCAAATCGATATACTTTTAAATTCAAGTTTGTGTCAACTCAACTCGAAAGCTTAAGGCTCGAAGCTTAACTTGAGTTTTATTTTTTACACTCTAACTTGACTCGATTGGATTCAAAAATTTGAAATTCAAAGATCAAGTTTCATTTTTATGCTTGAATTCAACTCTTAAACTTGACTTAACAATGAATGAGTCAAGCTCAAATTTCTTCAAGTCAAACTTGAATAACTCACAGATAGCTTGATTCGCTTACACTCTTATTGCATGCCAAAAAAATCATAACTTCAAAAAGTAGAGAAAAGTCAAAATCTAAAATAAAAGGGAGAAATTAATGAAAATGTGATATACATACCAAAGGTTGAAGAATTGTAAGTTGTCCAGCCATCAATCCTATTATGGTTTCCAGTGATTATGGTCTTATTGATTCCATCTCCAATCAACATAACGTTCTTCTTTTCTTTGGGGACAATGACATACTCTTGGTAATATCCTTGTCTAGCATAGATTATGAAATATCCATCTTCAGGGTTCGAATTGTTTGGTGCAGAAGCAATGGCTTCTCCAATGGTTGTGAAATTGTCGCCATCGTATGGACCTACTATAATAGTTTCATTAATGAGAATTCCTTTGCCCTCTACTTCACCAAGAATCCGTTGCCCCTTATGACAATCTGTTGATTTGTTGTTGCAATGATAAGATTTTCGTAGAGCCTGAACCAAATTTATCGATCGGTTAGATTTATTAATTAAGGCAATTTCAAAAAAACAGAATCACTTCCGAAAAAATTCAAAAATACACTTTTTGAACTATGATTAAGGTTTTAATTCGAAATTTTCAATTTTGAAATAAACTCCAACACCATTAAACTAACTGTTTTTTTTTTTTATTTGAATTATATGCAAAATATAGCCAACTTGAGATCACTAACAAGTTTTGAATTTTGACATGTATAAAAGAAAAAACTCATAGTTTATTAAAAAAAAAAAAGAAAAACTCATATATTTATTTTGATTTTTTGCATTTAATATTACATAAACATATTTATAATTTACAAGTAGAATATTCAATTATTCATCATAAACGATGCGGTTTCCTCCATGAGCGAACAGTTGAAAATAATATTGCTTCTGACCCTCTTAACACTCAACATGCAAACCCACGTGACTTGTCTCTTTATTTTCATGTACAAATACTAAAACCAAAGAGTGAAAAATATCAATTTAGAATTAAATTTGAAACAATTATAATGGAAGCCTAACTAAAAATGGATGACTTTCATGACCCATGTGATAATAAAAAAATACATTGATGAGAATCTAAAATAACAAATTAATATTGGATTCAAAGTTTAGTTTTGTTAGTTTATATAATTATATTTAAGATATGATATTCAATAAATTTGATATTTATATTTTAATTTCTACAAACCTTTTTTTTTTATTTATTTTCAAATTACGACTTCTAACCAACAACCATGTCTTCATTATGTATTTATTTATGCATTATGAGTGTATTATATTTTCACTTTTTTTAACCTACAAATCTTACTGTCATAATTGATTTATGCAGTATTAATTTTGCTTTAATGGTATATGATACATTTAAAAAAATTGTAAAAATTTGAAAAATTGTTATAACTGCTAACAAATTGCCATTCTTATATATTTGAATCATGTAAATTAATTGAAAATAGCCCATATTAAAACTTGAAGCAACCATATATAAAAATGATCTTTCAAAATTTGCAAATAAAAAAAAAAAAAACTTTCTTTGGGGTTCGAGAGAAACGTATCCTCCACGTTAATTGGGCCAGGTTGGCAATAAATCTCTGCTTAGAAACCAGACAAACAAAATTAAATGTTTAAATCCAAGTAGTAATTCTTATATTATATATAGTACTATATTAACATAAAATATTACTGTTTGAAATTCTTATATAGTACTATCAACGTATATCATATACGTATTCGTATGCATATAATAAGACACATACCTTTATCTGGCATCGTATATATAAGAATTCCATGTAACAAAACCTTTGTATGGTATAGGTTCGAGTACTTCCATATATATTGTATAGAAAGGAAAAAATTAAAAGGAAAAGCATAAAACAATGTACGCTAATTTGTTACCTCAATGAGTGATTCAAGCGGTTGGCGAAACCTATGCTTCAAAGTACCCGGGTTTTGAGATCCCTTACTTCTTTTAAATCGCTTACGGTTCCGGTCCAACGCATGAGTCACCAACCCAAGCGAGATGCTATACAACTGAGTCACATTAGCGAGTGGTTCAGCCAAAACACTAGCAAAACTACTCTTGGCATCGGCAAGCCCATCAAAGCAAGTGTGTTGATTAGTCACAACCCCACTGAGTAAACTCGAGACTCGGTCCACCAAGGCATCAGTCATGGAATCAACAGCCGATTTCAACTCAACCGAGATCTTCTCCAAGTAAAAAACATTAAGGTCAGCTAGTTGAGCACAATCTTGCATTGCACCAGCTTCCAAGTGGGATGATGGGGAGTATTTTTTGTGAGTGAGGTAACGGTTGATAGCCTTGGAAAGTTTTTCAGCTTGTTTAAGGCATTTTTTGACTGTGAATTTGCCATAGTTGTAGGGATCGGAGGGCGACGATGTGAAGGCTGAGAGAATGGAACGGCAGAGCTTTGGGTAGGGAGTGGATTTGCATACAATGGAAGGGGGTTGGGGTGAGGTTAACAAACTTGGTGAAGAAAGAATAAGAAGAAAGGCTAAGAGAGAAGAAGAAACTAAGGAGGATTGGAGGATTTGCATTTTCTTGTTATTTTTGGGTGATTTTTAGTGAGTACTATGATTTAAGGGTATGTATTGTAGATGATGGCTAAGTAGGTGTTTTTATATATGCATGCCTTCGTGAGAGAAAAGAGTAAGAATCCATGCGGCTAGATCATCTTCAATTAATTTATGTTTTTTGTTTAAATAATCATTTCATCCCTATATTATACATTTGTTATCAGTTTGACATTTTAAAAAATGAAATTTACAATTAAGTACTTAAACTTTTATTCTGTCGTTATGTTATATCAACTAATTAACTAATGATATTAGTTTAAGAGAATAAAGTAGATAATGAAATGAAAATTGAAGTATCTAATTGTGAATTTTATTTTTTTAGGTACTAAGTTAACAAAAAATATATAATACAAGTACTATTTTTGTTTTTAATTTTTTTAAAAATTGAGATAGAAGAGACCTAACAATTCGTCGTTTAATTATTTTTTATATAATATGTATAAAATATAAAAATTATTATATTAAATTTTGTGTTGACATATTTAATACAAAATATATATTTTTCTTTTACCAATCCCATAAATAATTTTTACTAAAAGTTTAAACAACAACTTTTGTATCTGTTTTTCTATCACATTAACACATTACCGTACCTATGTAAAATTATCATTTAATGTTTTGGCATGTTTCGTTTATTCTTTTTAATATTCTTATCTCTTAGCAAAGAGAGGGCAATCACGGGAAGTGAACCAAGTTAGTAATGGAAAAGAAAAACCAAGTTATAACTAGTAATAACAGTTTTGAAAAAAGTATTAAGGGTTCTTAATAATTGAGAACATTTCCACGTGAAGAAATAATTGTAAATTTAAGTAAATGATCAACCATGGTTTAATTTCATTAATTTCGATAATAATAAATGAAATCTAAGTGAAGGTCATTGTTAACATATGGTAGATTAATTGGCTTGGTGTCGGTCAAGCTAATTAATGCATATATGAATCGGTGGAGTGGGAGGAGAAGATCCTTCAAGGAAAAGACATCACCAAAGATGGTGTGAGGTGAAGTAAGGTAGAAGGAAAACCATGTAACTTCCACACTTAAAATGCCATATTTTATTAATTAATTAATGCTTGTAATTATTACATTTTGGTACTACCATACACAGACTTCTTGTTCTTCTTCCTCTTTTTTTTTTTTATTTATTATTTATAGAAATGCTGATTTGTTTAATACTTTCCACTGCCTCCTTCTCGGACTTTAAATATTTAAGGTCAACTTGTCTGATGTTCTAAGATTTTATAATTGTTTCCCCTAATGTTTTTGTTTGTTTTGAGAATTTCAATTGCTGAGTCATTGAGATCGTGCCATGCATCAAGAGAACCATGGCAGGTTGTAATTTAGTTTAACTTATATACACAATTTATATGTTAAAGATTTTCATGTTTTATATATATATATATATTTATATATATACCCCGTTTAATCAGGGGGGTATTTAAAATTTTTAGACTTGTTAATAAGATTTGGGCTTAAAATTGAATTTTAGATAGATTTATTTAAGTCTTTGTCATATTTTGAGTCAATGATATTTGGGAGTCTATTTTTGGGTTATATTGTTTTAGGTTGTCCAAAAGCCTTAATTTTTTTAATTTTATTTCATATGTTTTTATAAAAAAAAAAAAAGAAGAAGGATAAAAGCGGAACAAAAAGAAGAAAGATTCAAAAAAGGATGAGATAACGAAAGTTTTGAAATTTGAGAAATTTTGGATAAAACCTATTCCAAATTGAAATCATATTAATAGATGAGATCCGAATTTAAGTCTTCAATCTAATCTTTATTGAGAGTTAATCCTTATATAAATCAAAGAAATCAACATCAGTAGGAGAAACATACAAAGAAAAAGGCAAAAATTTTTGAACAATGATAGAAGTTTTTGAGTAATTTATTGAAGCTTGGTTTTTAATTCAAAAGTGTGTTTAAAGGATTGGAGTTAAAGAAAAAGAAAGGAAGTCAAAATTTGACCTTTTTTTTTGGAATTTTTTTCTATAAAATTACAAAAAAAAAAAGAAAAAATAGTTAATTATAGCATCATGAATGTGAGGCATTCAAATAAATATAAAATCAATGAAAAAAGAAAGTCATATCCTAAGAATCGCTTTTTTGGAACATCTATACTTGAAATAAAAAATTGTCATCTCTTGAATTCTTTTCATAAAAGAAAAAAAATCTATTTGCTACCCTTTTGAGCCTATTGTTTTCTTCTTTCTAAGTAAATCCTAACCAAGAATCAACTTTCAAGTTTGGAAACAAGTTAAAAAAAAAAAAAAAGAGATCTCATCAAGATGGCATTGGATCTTATGATGTTTTATGTTAAGTGGCATGTTTGAAGTAAGTTGACTCCCAAAAATTTTGAACTCAACTTGTAAAAGGTAGAAGCACGCAAAACAAAAAAAAGGTAAAACAAAAATGCAAAATAGAAAAAGAAATATGTCTTTTGAAAAAGAAATGATCATTTATTTAATCACCTTTAAATACATTTTTGGGTCTATTATCCTTTCTTTTTTAACCTTAAACCCTAGCCTATATTATGTCTTACAAAAAGTCCATTTTTGTCATTTATAGATACCTAAGTTGGAGAGCTTGTTCCTTAAAAGATCATTATGAGTTGGTTTTAGATGAATTTTGAGTTCTCGAATGGATGATGAAATAATTAATAAAAAAAGAAAAAAAGGGAAAAGAATGAAACTCTACGGTGCAAACTTGAAAGGATAGTCGAAAGCAAGATTGAAGCTTTGAAAGCAAATCATGGCTTTCCATACATCAAGGATGAAGCAAAAAGCACCAAAAAGAGGACATTTTGAATAAACCAAGGCATGTTAAAGACCTTTTAATAACCCAAGAAGATCAATTTCACTATAAAGATTCTCTCAAAAATTTAAGCATTGTTCTTTTTTGACACCTAAAATTTAAAGTCTATTAGAGTTGGTCTTGACACTTATTACAATTCCACATATAAGAATTTAAAAGAGTGCCAAAATGGATTGTACTTTAAAAGATGATTTTCATTAGTGAGCCTAGATAAAGAGATATTGATATTTCCTTTCTCATTTAATGGCCAAATTCCATTTGATAACTAAAATCATGATGTGTCAAACCATTGCATCTTTTTGGAAAGACCAAATTGTGACTCATCACATTCATTCTAGGTAGTAATCACTAGTTTGAAGAAATTTGATCACATGTGAAACATTGATTCATTTTTAGAAAGATAGTTGTGTGATGTAATTTTCATTACCATTTTTGAAAATTTTAAAAGATGTTCAAAAAGTATTTTTGATTCTCAATGCTCATTATGGGAGAAAAGGTGAATGCTATAATAAAAGACCTAATGTAAGGACTAACCAAAAAGATTCATAAACAAGAATAATGGTTTTCAAGAATGAAGATGTCTAAGCCAATAAAAGGTAAGAATGGTTGCTTCGTTCAGAAAAGAAATTGTTGATTTGTTTTGAAGTTGTATAGTGTAAATTTAAAAAAGAAATAGGGTTTTAAGAATCGTGTTACCACAATTAAGGATCGATTTCATGTATTGCATTCATTGCATGCATCACATGGATTATATGCATCACATTCATTCCATGTGTTGCATTCATTGCATATTTTTTCACATGCAGAAGAGAAAGATTTAGGCTTAAAGTTTTGATAAAAAAAAAATCTTGTTGCTTTAGATAAGGACCTTTGATATGAAAATCAAATGAGATTCAACCTCAAGATATTTTTATTAAACTTCTAAATATCAATTTTTAAAACCCCTAATATCATTTTCTAAAACCTTTAGGTAGTTTTTCTTTCAAACCTTCAGGTATATCCTATAAACTTTTGAATACTCTTTTCAAAGTCCTCCTAGCATAATCTATAATTCCTCTAAATTTTTAAAAACCTATGGGTACCATTTTTAAATTTTAAGCCCTTGTTTAAAAGAGGTTTTTTTTCTTTCAAAGTTTTATTTATAAAACCCCCAAGAATAATTTGAAAGTCCTTTGGGCATAATCTATAAGATTTCTGGGTATGATCTTTAAAATGTTCGAGTATCATTTTTAAATTTTAAAATGGTTAGCCTTTGTTTTAAAAGAGTTTTTTTCAAAGTTTGATTTGTAAAACCTTTGGGTATAATCTTAAAGTCCTCCATGAATGATTTATAAGACCTTCAAGTATGATTTTTAAAACCTCCAAGTACCTTTTTCAAATTTTAAAGTTGTGGAGACTTTGTTTTAGAAGAGTTTTTTTTTTTTTTCAAAGTTTGATTTGTAAAACTTTCATGCATAACCATCAAAACCTCTAGGTATAATTTCTAAGTCTTTCCATATGATGTATAAGACTTTCGAGCGTGATCTCATCAAGGCCTCCAAAAACAAGATAAAAATGATTTGTAAAACCTCAAAGCATAATCTCGAAGTCCTTCGAGCATGATCTATAAGACCTTTAGGCATGATGTTTAAAACCTTTAAATATATTTTTTAAATTTTAAAATTGTTTTACGTTTGTTTGAAGAAGTTTTTTTAATATTAAAGATGAGTTGTAAGACTTTCGGACATGATCAATAAGATTTTCAAGTATGATCTTTAAAACTTTCGGGTGCTTTTTTCAAAATTTAAAATTTGTGTTCTTTCTTTTTTAAGGAGCTCTTAATTTTTAATAATGGTATTCTCTATTTTTTAATAGCCCTTTCTCAAGAAAAAAAACATAATAAAAAAAATTTGGAATAAGCATAACCCGAACGCGATAGGTGTTTATGTTTTTACATAATTTTTATTTCATAAAAATGTGTAAAGTTAGAAAATGTGTAAAGAGGGACAACTATAAACATCCCATTTAATTCGGGGTATTTAAAGTTCCTAAAGTTGTTAATAAGAATTGGGCTGAAAATTGGATTTTAGATAGATTTATTTAAGTTAGAGTCATTTTTTAGGGATATTATTTTAGGTTGTCCAAATGCCTAATTTTGTCAAAAATTTTATTTCATATGTTTTTGTTAAAAAAAAAAAGGGATAAAAGTGAAAGATAACAATGAGAAAGATTCAAAAAAGGATGAGATAAGGAAAGTTTTGAAATTTGAAAAAATCTAGATTAAGCTCATTTGAAATTAGAATAAAATTAATAGATGAGATGCAAATTTAAATCTTCAATCTAGTTTCTACTAAGACTTAATCATCATATAAACTGAATGAGATCAATATCAATAAT